GGGTTAATTGACTTACCCAGGGTCATATAACTAGTAAGTGTCTGAGGCTAGATTTAAACTCAGGTCTTTCTTCCTGTTTCCAGGTGCAGCACTCTATCTTCTGTGCCACCTAGCTGCTCAAAAATAATATAACAACTTCATCTGAAAAAGCATGCAACATTTCACATCTGTAGCATTCTCCACCTCTCTAGTTTTTAATTAACAAAATTCTAATTTTCTCCCTTCAGTCCTCTACCCCACTGGATAAAAAAAGAAAATTAAAAACAAATTTATTCTAACAAATATGTATGTATATATGTTACATATACACACACATACATTATTTATACATATATACATACATACACACACATATATGCAAAACAAATTCCCCTGAAGGTTATATACAAAAATATCTATTTCTCATCCTGCACCCTAAATCCTTCAGTTCTCTATAATGGATAGCTGTTTCAGCATCAGTCCTCTGGAATCAAGAACAGTCATAGTTCTTAAAACTTTCAAAGTAGTTCGTCTTTATTGTGTTGTTGTTATTGTATAAATTGTTCTCCTGGTTCTGCTTGCTTCACTCTGCATCAGTTCATATAAGTCATCCAGTTTCCATGCAAAGATTTCCACTGATGAAGAACCCATGACCTCCTGAAGCAGCCTATTCTACTATTTTAATATTTCCTTCAAAATCTGACACTTTGTGATCTCTACCCATTGCTCCTATTTTTCCCTTTGGGACCAAGCAAAACAAATCTAAACCCTGTTCCACATGAGAGCATTTCAAATATTTAAAGATATCTATCACTTCTTCCCTTAAATCTTTTCTTCTCCAGGCTAAACATCCTTCAGCTGATTATTGTATTGCATGATCTCTACTTCTCTTCCTTCAGAACTTCTTAAACTTTTTCCACTCCAGCTGCCTTCAGCACTTCTTAATCTGTGGGTCCAGGTTGCTGACCTGCTCTTACTTGTCAATATGCAATAATGACTAAATGTACTTAACCCCTTGTCCCCAAAAAATACCCCTTTACACAAACTATGGTTTCAAAATTCCAGTTCTTTCTTATCACTGGCCTCTTGCACCATGACTCTCGCTGGCAGATACCTAATGAAATGAGTTGAATGCTGCCCAAGGCAAAACATTTTATGGTCAGCCAAAGCTACATATAAATCACAAGCTAGATTGAATTGTATCCCTGGCAAGTACCCATGAATAGAAGATTGGGTCACCCAAAACCAGAAAACCAACAGACTAAATAATGAATACTAATCTTCCAAATGAATGATAGATACATTTACAATTGTATAATGATTCTCAATCAGGTAATAAGCCTGTGGACTGTGAACTACTATAGCCTACCTCACTAAGAATCTATTATATTTTCCATTAGTCCTTGTTGCAACAGACTCGCCCTGAAATAAAAAAAATATATCTACTTAATCCTCACCCTCTCCACCCTCCATCATACTCCATACATCTTAACTATGGATGGGCAAGAGGAATATATAAGCCAAGAGAGACTAGATTCACAGAGGCAAAAGTGCTCCCTTCAGCACCTGGTAGATGGAACCTAGGACTATGAACCCAATGCACCTAGTAGACAGAACCTGGGGCTATATATCCAAAGAAGAAAACATGATAACAACCAGAATTCCTCAGTTGGTGGAAACCTTCTACCAGCATTATTACATGAAGTCACAGCTTTGAGCTTCAGGAGGGCATTCTAAGAGAAGATGTCAGGGCACTGCCTTCAGCTTAATGAAGAATGGATATGGCAAGTTTGCTGCCATAAAAGGATGCTTTTCTTTGTTTAAAAAAAAATGCTGTTTTAAGTGAAATAAGTTCCCAATTCAGAGAATCACAGAATTTCTGAATCTCAGAGTCAGAAGAGGCCTCAGTGGCCATCTTGTCCAATCCATTGCTAAGAAAAAAAAAGAATTCCCTTCACAGGATACCCCAAAAGTGGTCATCCAAGCTTTACTTGGATACTTCAAGTAAAAGGTACTTTGGTGAAGTTCTAATTGTTGTAAAGTTCTTTATATCATTTTTCTTTTTTTCAGCTTACACCTATCATTCCTGCTTCTTTCCTTTACAACCAAACACAATTCTAATCTCTCTTCCCATTTGATAGTCCTTCCTCAATAATTCTTCTCTTCTCTAGGCTAAATATCCCTTTTTTATTCAACTGATCTTCACATAACATGGACCATCCCTAGCTGCCCTTCTCCAAACATTCTCCAACTTATCATGGTTTCTCCTAAAATGTGGTCTCTAGAACCAAACACCGTAATGCAGACGTGGTTTAGCAAGGGCATCCTATAGCAGGACTATCATCTCCTTATGCTTTGCTTCTCTTAATGCAGCCCAAAATACCAAGATTCTCTTTCTGATGCGTCATTTGTGCCCCTATTACTTGGGATTGGGGTAATTGGAGAGGACTAGCATCTCTGGTGTGAGGGCTTGCTAAGCCCTTTGCAGGGCTGCTCATCTACCTTTGGTGTCCATCTTTCACCCAATTCTAACTCCAAGAAACTCCAAGAAGCTGTAGCATACTCAGTGGCCACACCCTGGTGAAATCATCTCAGCAGACAGGCTAAACCAGGTTGAAGGTAACCAACAGGCCTCTTGTTGGTGAATTATGGGGATGTCTTCCCCTAAACATTTCAAAACCTCCCCTGGAAGAGTGAGTGGATAAGAATAATTTGTTCCAAAGCTCCTGAAGCCAACTGGAGCTGGCTTTGTAGAATGCTTACAGCTTATTCAGACATCAAAGACATGAAGGTCATCCACTGCATATCGGGCCAACGTCAGTCATGCTGACTTTTGTCTTGCCTTCAATGACCCTAGAGAGAGTGACGTTGATGATTGTAGATTGGGGGGAGGGACCAGAAAAAGACATTCTGCAATGTCAGACAAAAACTCTGGGGATGAGTGTGTCTTAAAGTCCTACAAGGAAGAGTATCCTATTCTTGAGCAGGAAAACAAATATTTGTTCAATCAAACCAGCAATAAATTAATGTAATTATGGATAATAGCTTATTTTCTAGACTGCTTTATGATTATAAAGCACTTAGAGATAGTCAGAAGAAAAGCGAATGGAACACTAGGCCTGTAGTCAGAAAAACCTACATTCAAATCTTGCTTCAGACACTTACTGGCTATGTTATCCTGGGCAAGTCACTTAAAGTATGTTTACCTCAGTTTACTCAACTGCAAAATTGGAATAATAATTGCACTTACCTCACAGGGTTGTTGCGAGGATTTAACTAGTTAATATTTGTGAAATATTGGCACCCTTAGCACAGTGCCTGGTACATAATAAGTATTACATAAATGATTATTCACCTCCTTTCCACTGTCTCATTTGATCTTTCAAAACCATTCTGTGAGGCCTATAATATAAGCATTATTCACATCTTACAGAGGAGGAAGCTAAAGTTCATAGAGGTTATATGACTTGTCCTTTCTCTTATACTTTTTTCTGTATATATTATTTAGTGTGTGTACGTATATTTGTTATTTTCCTCAAAAGAATGTAAGCTCCTTAAGAGCAGGGATTACTTCTTTTTTTGGTCTTTGTGTCTCCAGCCCTTAATTCATTGCCTGGCACAAGTGCTAATTAACTAGTTCAATTAGAAAATGAAGATTTCATTGTCTATCTAAGATGTAACAGTTTAGCAATTTGTAATCATACCTTTAGAAAGAATATATTATGTATAAAGATATACCATCCTTTATATATCATGCAATAAGCTATGTGGTATAGTGGATAGAGCACGAGGCTTGGAGTCAGAAAGACTCATTTTTCCATGTTCAAATCTGGCCTCTGACACTTACCAGTAAGTCACTTAACCCTGTTAGGCTCAGTTTCATCTCTAAAATGAGCTAGAGAAAAAAATGGCAAACTACTCCAGTATCTTTGCTAAGAAAACCCCAAATGGGGTCATAAAGAGTTGGGCATGATTGATAAATGTCTATACAACAAATTAAGAAGATCTGGGTTCAGGGCTTGCCTTTGATACCTAGCTAATGACTGTGTGATTTTGGCAGGCCACTTACCTTCTCAGTGTCCTAGGAAACTCTAGGATTAAAAATTGCAGAGCATGGATAGATCTGCATTGATAAAGTCATTTTCCTCATTGGGAGTTCCCTATACCAGTGAAATCACAAGTCTAGTAAAAACAAAACACACACATACACACACATACACACACACACACACACACAACCAACTTTATATAACTAAATTGTTAGTAAACCAAACAAAAATGTCCTACTTGTGTTTTCTTAGGAAATGACTAGCATGATAGATTTTTTCTCTCACAAAATGATACATCCAACATTTATTTGTCACTTTCTCCTTCAATCATTTTAGCCAATCGATAGGTGTAAAATGATATTCGAGGTTATTTTAATTGTTTAATTTTAAATAAAGATGGGAGCAGGGCAGAAAAGGTGTCTGGTTCAGAGGCATGATGGAAAAAAATCCAACAGTGAGACAGATACTACTCACAAAACCTATGACAGTCTAGATAACATACTCTATGTGAGTTCCCTCTCTTCCAACTGGTGCTATGTTTAGTTGGGAGAGAATGTGACCCAGATTTACACTGAAATTGTTTGGTTCCTATTGATTTCAAAACATCATCTCAGTTAATACCTTTGGTATGAATTAATTTTGTCTACTGGCTATCCATGAAAGGTAAATGGATTACTGAAGACTTGTGAGCTACAATTATATACTGTATATGCCAATAGAGTATAGACCAACAAAGTACCTTTAATCTATGGGTAGTCAAGCCTTAGGACCTCTGCCCTACAACTATGAATTGGAGGGATGGCTCAGCGGCAAGGTGTATTGGGGAGTTTAGTAGAAGGGAGTCTTGGGGGAGAAAGATCATGAGTTCTGCATGTTGATCCTGAGATATATGGTAATACGACAAAGTCTGGGAACAACAAAATTCAAAGGTCACAAGTTATACAAGTTATTTGGGGGTTTTCTCCTATTCAGGTTAAAAAAGAAGTTGGTGATGTTACCATCCTCATCAACAATGCTAGAGTTCTAACAGGAAAACTATTCCTTGAGACTTCAGATGACTATGTGGAAAAATCTTTTCTTGTCAACACCTTTCCTCATATATGGGTAAACTATTTTCTTTTTTTTAAATGTAAAGATTATATAGTTGGTTGTATTTCTCTAAATACCTGTTTATATCCATTCACTTATGAAAAATCTAATAGGGATACAGTTGGATTGACAAACCAATTATTAGTGATCTGGTTTGGCCTCATCCTTATTCATTTTCATCTGATTCCTGCAGACTTAATTTATTTCATCTTCCTACTACAAACCTCTTCTGGTCTGGTCCCAAACATAATCCCCTTTCCTAACTCCCTCTAATTAAGTCATGACTTTTTAGATTGGCTAGAAATTCCCTGGCCAAAAATATGGATTGCATTTATAACAGATATGATATGAAAGATAAAAATTATCTGAAAGATATATCTGAAAATATCTGAATGACAAGAAGATAAATGCTAGTCAGAAAGTCTATGACAACACAAAAGAGGTGTATATACACACACATATATGACATACATATGTGTAAGTTATACTTATAATGCCCTTTTGCAGGGAATAGAAATAGTGAAAACAAAGAATAAATACTCTATTTGCAAAGATGGGAAGGTGTCACTATGATTTTTAATGAAAGAATGAATGAATTCTATTAAAATAGCTGAAAATATTTTGTAGTCAACTATCCCAAATCACTTGACCAAATTGCAAAGAGTCACTTTTTCTCACTGAAAGTTACCTTCCTCAAATGTGTTTTCCTTCATTTTGCCCATTTAGCTATCTATTATCATGGTGTCTTTGTTTTTGTTCAAATTTGCGGAGGGGTGGAAGGAAATTAAATTGTTACAAGAAAATCTGAAATCAAAAGACTTTAGCAGATTAGAAAATTAATGGTCACTTTCTATACTAAAAATACAAACCTAAAATGTCCCATTGATTCAATTAGTAAAAACTTCATTTTTATTATTAATTTGCACTTATTTAATGAACATTTGACTGGACTGAAAGCTTTTTGAAGGCAGGGTCCACATCTTACATTTCTTTGTATCTGCCATTGTGCCTAGCATAGATCTTAGCACACGGTAGGAAATCAATAACATTAGTGGACTGAATTCATAAAATGTTGGGGTTGTCTACTTATGTCTCTTAGACTTACAAAGCTTTCTTTCCTGCCATGATAGCTTTCAACCATGGTCACCTGGTCTGTATTTCAAGTGCAGCTGGACTAATTGGTTTGAATGGACTAGGGGGTGAGTATTTTATGTTGGTGACCTGGTCCAGGGTGAAATGGACCCTGCAGTTTTGATCCTGCCTAAATTTATGAGAAAATCTCCTTAATGAATTTGAATTAGTCTATGTTCAATATAAACTAATTCCTCTCTGTCTCCTGTCAATGTTAATATGGGATTGCTTAAAAGAAAAGATTAACTTATATGCTTGCTTTTATAAAAAAAAATTTTCAAACTTTAGGAAAATGGTTGTTTGGTTTTTAATATTTCTTCAATATTAGAAATTTCTAGGGTACAAAGAATGCTTTATTATTCAAAACAAGTTTGAAAGCATGTTCTATTCTAAGATGGACTAATGGTACTTTGGGGGAATATAAAAGGTAAAAAGCACTGTGGTATGAGTTAGGGAAGAAGGTTCAGAATAGGTGCAAGCTTAAGGTTACCAAGTCAAATCCTGGTCTTAAAGAAGCATCCTTTATTTCATCTATCCTACCTAAAGCACTCTCAATATAATGTCTCCAAATTAATGGAAGGAATTAAAAGAATTAATTTAGGGCAAAGTTGAGTGCCACTTGTCAGGGATATTGTACATGAGAACCCTGAATGGAGTGGAAATTTGAATAATATAAACCTACATGTGTGGGTAAACCTAGTATTATTAAATCCCATCAACTGCTATTTTAACCTTTTTTGTAACAGCAATTATTGGATATAAATAATGAAATTTCTATTGAAGTCCTGCTCCAAAGCCTCATCATAGTATGGAGAGGGCTTTGAGGCTTTAAAAAGCAAGTCAGTGGAGCACAAGTTCTGGAAAAACTTATCTACACATTATTAAAGAACTGAACATTTGGAAAGAGAAATGATGATCTCCAAGAGCTAGCTTCATCAAGTATAGGGTATATCAGACTAACATTATTCAGTAGAATATAAACTCCTTCAGGGCAAGGGCACTTTCATTATTTTTTTTTCTGTGTACTTCCAGTAGCTAATACAGTGCCCTGAATTAAACTAAATTTCCTTTCATGAAAGTGGTATAATATTGATGTCTAGCCAGTGGCATTTCATAGATATAGTTTATTTTTTGGCAAGGCATTTGACAAAATATCTCATGATATCTTTGAAAATAAACTGAGAAGATATGGGAAAGATAACAATACAGTTAAATCTATCAAAAACTGGTGAAATGTGTAGTCAGGAAGGTCTGAGTTCAAATCTGGCCTCAGATACTTACTAGCTGTATGACCGTGGGCAAGTCATTTAACCCTGATTGGCTCAAAAAAAAATCAAGTTTACAAGAACTATGAAGTTTGAATGCAGATTGAAGTATACTATTTGCTATTTTTCTTCTGTTTTGTTTTCTCTTTCTTGCTCCTCCTATTGGTTCTAATTCTTCCTTACAATATCACTAATGTGAAAATATGCATAATAAGAATGTATATGTATAGCCTACATTAGACTGTGTACCGTCTTGGGGAGGGAGGAGAGGATAGAGGGGGAGAAAAATTTAAAACTCAAATGCTTATGGAAGTGATTGTTGATAAATTAAAATAAATTAATTTAAAAATTGGTGGAATAACCAAATGAGAGCCAAATGACAGCAAAAAAAAAAGTAGTCATTAAGGGCTTGATGTCACACTGGAATGAAGTCTCTAGTAGAGTGGCCTAGGAATCTAGCATAATGTTTTCATGTATAACATTTTTATCAGTGAATTAAATTATGGCATCAATAACATCCATATCAAATTTGTAGGTGCTGCAAAGTTAAGATATTGGGCAACAAAATTGGTATCTAAAAATGTATCTATAGGCCACAGTAATTAACTGCTGTAAGGTTGAATTTAATAGGAATAAATGTAAATTTCTATATTTAGGTTCAAAAATTAATGACACCTAGTCATTGACAAGTATAGGACTTGTATGACAAGTATATGACAACATATAGGAGAGTTGATGGCAAGCACAAGAAAGAGAAAGCATGGCTTGACCACAGTTCACATGAAAAAAGATCTGGGAAGTTTAGTGGACCAGAAATTCAATATGAGAATGGAAGAATATCCAGAAGAGAATGATCATGGTGGCAAATGATAGGAGAGCATATTGTTTCAAGGATAAAATGAGATAATGGTTGTAAAGTGCTTACCACAGTGCCTGGCACATAGTAAGTGCCATATAAATGCTAACTATTGTTATATAAAGAATGGTAGAAAAAACTAGGGATATATATCCTGGAGAAGAGGAGGACTTAAAGGGGACATGTTAGATACCTTTAAATAAGCTATAATGTGGAAGAGTCATTAACAAACATTTATTAAGCACCTACTATGTGCCAGGGATACAAAGAAAGGCAAAAAACAGTACTTACTCCCATGGAGCTCACAGTCTAATGGAGAAGACAACAAGCAAACAACGATGTGCAAACAAGATACAGGATAAATTGGAGATGATGAACAGAGAAGGCACTAGAATTAAAGGTGATTGGGAAAGGTCTCTTGTAGAAGGTAAGATTTTAACTGGGATTTGAAGGAAGCCAAGGAGGCCAGGAAATGGAGATGAAGAGGGAAAGAATTCTAGGCATGGAGGACAGTCAGTGAAAATGCCCAGTCAAGAGATCAGGAGTATTTTGTTTGAAAAGCACCAAGGAGGCCAGTGTCACTGAATTACAGAATGCATGGCAGGGGGTGGAGAAGTAAAGTATAAAATAACTTGAAAGGTAGGGAAAGGCTAGGTTATGATGGGTTTTAAAAGCAAAAAAAGAGATTTTTATATTTGATTCTGGAGGCAATAGTTATTGAATAGGATAGTGACATGATCAAACTGATGCTCTTGGAAGATTAATTTGATAGCTCAATGACTGGAGTGGGGGGAGACTAGGCAGGGAGACCAAACAGAAGGCTATTGTACATAGTCCAGGAATGAAATGAGAAAGACCTGGACCGGAGTAGTGGTAGTATTAGGGGGAAAAAAGGAGGCATACATGACAGATGTTATGAAGATAGAATTGACAAAATTTGGCAACAGATTAGATATGGGAGGAGGAACAGAGAGAAGAAAAAGTAAAGGGTCAAGAATGACATCTAAGTTGTGAGCATAGGTGACTGGGAGGATAGTGGTGCCCTCGACAGTAATAGGAAAGTTAGGAAGAGGGGAGGGTTTGGAGAGAAAGATGATTCCAGTTGAGTTTAAGATGTCTGTGGAGTATCTTATTAAGGGGAGTTTGCTGGAGTTTTCTTGGCTTGGGTGTCTTTGTGGAGCAATGGGTGAAAGTCACTGAGAGGCAGCTTTCAGCCTGATATAAAAGAAAACTTTCAAACAGTTAGATCTGAAATTAGAATAAGGTTACCTCTGGAGGTAGTGGATTTCAAATTCCAGGAAGTCTTCAAGAGGAGGTTTGATAGCCCCTTGTTAGGGTTATTGTAGAGGGGATACAAACTTGTGTACCAACTCATACAAGAGAATCTTTGAGGTTCCTCCCATCTCTGAAATTCAGTGATTCTTAACTCCAAGGTTATTATGTCATAGGCCTAAAGAAGATCTGCTACCTAAGGTAATCTTTGAGTTCTATTAATAATATTGTTGTCATCTCTTCTGTATTTCAGATTATTGTGCAAGTAAATTTGCATCATTTGGATTTGCAGAATCCATTTATTTTGAATTGAGAAAACTAAAGAAACATGGAATTCAAACCACCATTGTCTGCCCATATTTCATCAAAACTGGAATGTTTGAAGGTTGTTCAACCAAGTAAGAGAATGATTTTATTTTTGTAAGAATCTTTATATATTCCAGATATTACTATGGCTGAGGGAAGTTCCAAAGGACACTGGATGAATAGACAGCCTAAATTAGAGTCCCTAGTCTTCCACTAATTAGCTGAGTGACACTAGACAAGTCACTTCACCTCTATAGACCTCAGTTTCTTCATCTGTAAAAGTATTGGACCAAAGGAACTCTAAGGTTTCTTTTAGCTCTAGGATTCTTGAGGAAAAACAGTCATCTAGACTCCTTTTAATACTTCAGGTATCCATGATTTCATCAGAGTGGGCACTCCTTCCATTATTACAGATTACAACCCCATCCATGTCCTATCCTTCATGAATTACAACTTATGGGGGAAATGCCATCTATTAATTTACCTCCATCAGATGCACTTCACCAGGCTCAGCCATTGATCATAGGATCATAGACTGGGAACTAGAAGGGACCTTATTATAGAGTCCAGCCCACTCATTTTTTAAGAGACAAAACTGAGGATCAGAGAGTTTAAATGACTTTCCCCAAAGTGACATAGAAACTAGGTGGCACTGCCAGATTTTGAACTCAGTTCCTCTTTAAACAATTGATCTACATTCTATCACCAAGTCCACACTAAAAGCCTTTCTATCTTTTGAAGACCTGTCAGAAATAGCCCTCTGCCTGAAGAGCATTTGAGAACTGAGTCACTTGGATGACAAGATAAGCCATCAGAGTAACACTTTGAATGTAGGTGTTAGTAACGCAATATTAATAAAGATAGGTGGAAGGTTGGGAATGTCCCAATCAGATTATGCTAATAATCTAATGACTGTTTTTTAATCTACCCTGAATTTTATAACTAAACATTTCTTGGGATCTAAAATTCCAAATGGAACATTTAAATACTTGGGCATTAAAAGCAATAGTTTTTAATATTTAGTGTTGGAGCAGGAGAAATTCATCTTTGAAAAGCTTTGCCCACTAAAGAGAAGGAATGTGTTTTATAAGATGGATAAGTGTATATGGAGACACACGGAGGTAATGACAAATATTGCGATAACAAGTGTAGGTTGCTCAATGACTCCCATACTTCAGGGGCTGGCATTGGGAACAAGATCAGCTAATGCAATTCAGGTAAGCAGAGAAGTAATCCTAGATTTTAAATGTATTATAGCAGTTCTCCACTGTATAGGGGTAGGGATGAGGGCAAGGAGAGGCTCATGAGGGAGGAGCCAGATTGAAATCATGCTGAGAAGACCTCTGCTCTGATAAAGTAACTATTCCGAGAGAGAAGACTCAAAGGCCAAGACCTGCTATCACCCATCATCTCCTGACATCTCCCCCAGCAAATATTTCTCTCACTCCTTCATAGTAAATCCACCATCCTCTCAAGCTCTTCACCAACTGGCTACCCTGTGAAACCCTAATTTGAATTCCTCTAGCCCAAAACACTTTACTATCAAGAGCCTGGAATATCATGGAGCTGTCAGCCAAAGACACTAGGTTGAGAAACAAGACATAGCCCCTTTCATTCAAGAACTTTACAGTCTAAGAAGTAGGACCAATCAATAAGTCAACAAGGATTTATTGAAAGGGAAAGAAAAATTAAAATAGTTCTTGTTCTGGAGTAGCTTACATTCCACTGGAAAAAGAACAACTATGCAAAAGACAAACTATCTAAACTACACAAAATTAATACTAATAAATAATAATTTAATTTTAATAATTCTTATTTATGTTTTAAGTGTTATAAAGCATTTTATATGAGGATCAGTTGATACTCACAACAAAGCTATGAGGTAGATGCTATTATTCCAATTTTGCAGATGAGGAAACTAAGACTGAGAGAGGTTAAGTGACTTGTCCAGGACCAAACAATTGTGTGTTTGAGGCAGGATTTGAAGTCAGGTCTTCCTGACCCCAAGTCTAGTACTGCAGCACCTATATTCATGCTTAAAGAAAAGAAAGGCGGCAGAGTGACCGGCTAGCCAGTTATGGCAATAGACTAGTTGAGAAATGAACTAGGGCAGTGATTGGCAGAGTGGAAAGGAACAATGACAGAGACTGCAAAGACTGAAATGGCATGACTTAGCAACTAATTGGATATGGAGAGTGAGGAAGAGGGAGAAATCAAGGGTGACTCTGAAGTTTTAAGCATCTAGATGAATTGGAAATCATGGTACCACCAACAGAATTAAGAAAATTTAGAAGAAAAGGCAGGTTTTGGAATGGAAGATGGTAAGTTCCATTTTGGACATGTTGAGTTTGAGACATCAATCAGATACCCATGTGTATCCAACAAGCAGTTGGAAATTGGTGCCTGGAACCTAAAGGGAAGGGCAGGGCTATAAATAAAGACTTGGGATATACTTAGAAGGTAGCAGGTATCTCTGTGAATGACAACAAAAAGTCCCAAGAGCCATTCATCAATAGCAGGGACATGTTCAGTGGCAGAGAGGTTGCAAGAATAGAACACAGAATCCTGAAGTCAACAAAGAATCTATTTAATAGTCATAAAATGGACACAGCAGGTGCTATTTAACAATCTTCTCAATTCAATTAAATCATAGTAAACCAATATTTTTTTTAAATACTTACCTGTGTAAGACACTAGGCAAGGTGCTTAGTATTTTTAGTTCAGTTGTTTTCAGTTGTATCCAACTCTTGGTGACCTTTTTTTTTTGTGGGGGTTGGCAGGGGGGAGATTTCTTCACAAAGATACTGCATTGGTTTGCTATTTCCTTTTCCGGCTTATTTTACAGATGAGGAAAATGAGGTAACAGGGTTAACTGACATGCTCAGGTTCACACAGCTAGTAAGTATCTGAGATCAGATTTAAACTTAGGTTTTCCTGATTCCATATCCAGCGGTCTATCCACTGTGCCATCTGGGTTACAGAAGCCAAAACAAAGCACCTCTTCTCCTCCAGGGGGATTATAGTTGCATTATTACACTGAGGGATACAACATGTCCATAAATTAACACAACGTTAAGATGAGACAATACAGAGAAATTTCAAGAGGAACAGGTAAGGCCAAATGTAGAAGGTGGCATCTGAACTGTGCTTGGAAGGCAAATAGAGGTCAAGGTGAGAAGGAAGTACATTCTAAGACATGAAGAACCACTTGTACAAAAGCACGAAGGAAGGAAATGGAACATTATGTTTGGGGAATGGTCAATCAGCTTTCAATGGCTTGCGCTATCAAACTTGCAAATGATACAAAGTTAGGAAGGATCATTAACATTGGTTGACAGAGGATCCAGCAGAGCTCTTGAGAACTGCACCAAATTTAATATGAAGAAGTTTAATAGCTATTAACGTAAAGTACTATACTTGAGTTCAAAATTTGATGACACAAGAAAAACGCAGGAGAGGCATGGATTGATATCAGATCTTCGAAGCAAAAAGGTTTAAAGGCTTTAGGAGATCACACACTCAATATGAGTTAACAATGGGCCATGCCAGCTTAAAAAACTAATGTGATTTTAGGCTGTATTAAGAGAGGAATAGCAGAGGAATTGATAGCAAATCAAGTAATCAGTAAGCATTCATTAAGTGCCTGCTGTCTGTCAGACACTGTGCTAGGACCTAAGGATATAAATACAAAAAAAAAAAAAAAAAAAACTAAATATTCCCTAACTTGTTTTAGCATATAAGGTCCTCCTTTATTAATTTTTGTCTTCTATAAACAAATTTGACTTGATAGCACAAAACACACACAACTGACCTCAAAAGGTACAACATATTTGACAATTCTCTTTTTTCCCCCTACTTTTAAAAAATAAATTACATTCTAAGGGGGTAAGGTAGAAGGAATACACGTATAAGTATAGACAGAATTAATAGAAGGAGAATAATTACAAAGAAATACAAAGGAGCTTGGGAAAGAGGATACTAGAATAACTAGTAGTAGATGTAGGTAGGTACTAGATGTAGAGAGGTATTAGACAGTTCTAGATGAAGAAGCATTACAACTTCACATTGAAGATGGTGCTTAAGGTTCATCCTGAAGAAAGAAAGGGATTGTAAGAAGCAGAGGTAAGGAGAAGTACATTCTAGTTATGAGATGGCCAATGAAAAAGCACAGCAATGGGATCCAGAGTATCCCAGATGAGGAAGAAAGAGATAGCCAGCTTGGTTGAATCACAGAATGTAGGGAAGAGGGTACTGTACAGTGACATCTTAAAAGTTCAAAAGACATAGTTGTATGTAATTATTTTATAGTAATGCTAGCATTTTGTATTTTTTTGTTTTGGTTTCAGTTTTGGTTTTGATTTTTGGTTTTTTTTGAGGCAATTGGGGTGAAGTGACTTGCCCAGGGTCACACAGCTGGTAAGTGTCTAAGGCTAAATTTGAACTTGGGGCCCTACTGTTCTATCCAGTGTTCTATCCAGTACACCACCTAACTGCCCCTTAGCATTTTATTAATAAAAGGGTCAGTGACACTCAAATGCCAAAGACCCTCATGGAGGTAGACTCACAGTTTACATGCCCTTGGAAGAGTGAGTGTTTCTGAGGGTGACAATCAACTTTGATTGACTAGCAATTAATGAGAGAATAAATATTACAATGAGAGGTGGGTCTATTCTAATGAAGGGCCGGGAAATGTAACTTTGATTGTGTCATTTACTTCTGAATGGCCCAGCTTTGGTCAATCTAATCAAAGAATTTATCCCCACTCTACCTGTGTAAGCACAATGGGCTTCCCCACCTTAGAGTAAATTCCTTGTAAAGTTGGGTAGGATCTGAGCAAGATTGAGGAGAAGTTAATTCAATCTCATTATCAGTAATGTCCTTTAGAGATGGAAACTTGAAATGAGGACTTTAGAAAGAAGGGAGAACTCTGGATTTCTCCTAACCACTGGTCATTAATAATCATTTCTCTCAGTAGAATGAGCCTGAAAGATAGTTTGGAGCTAGGATGTGAAGGACCACAAAAGAATCTTTAAAGAGGAGTTTATATTTGACCCTAGAGACAATAGGAAGCCACTGAGGTTTATTACTCTGCCTAGTCAAATCACATACAGAATGATATGTTCAGTTCTAGGTGTAACATTTTAGGAAGGTGATTAATAAATTTAAGGGTATCCATAGTAGGGCAACCAACATGATCATACCATATAAAAATAAATGGAAAAAACCTGGAGATACTTGGCCCACAGAAGAGAAGACTTGGGGAGGCAGGGATCATAATCTTCTTCAAGTACTTGAAGGCCTAGCACATGGAAACAGGGTTAGGCTTGTGCTGCTTGGCCACAGAGGGTAGAACAAGAAGTAATAGGTGGGATATGAAGAGGGGTACATTTTAACTTCTGTTAGAAGGACTTCTCAGCAATTAGAGCTTTCCAAAAGTATTATGTGCTGTCTTGGGAGATGTTGAGTTCCCCATCACTGGAAGAATTCAACCAGAAGCTAGATGATGACTTGTTTGATTTGTAAGGCACAAGTTGGACTAGATGGCCTCTGAGGGCCTTTCATATACTGAGATTCTTTGATTCTGCTCTTTTTTCTCTATCTCCCCAACCAATAGCGAGAAGATATAATTATAACAACTATATTTGTATAATGCTTTGGAGGACTAGGAGTGAAGCTCTTTACAAGTCAAATCAAATAAACAATTATTTATTAAGCACTTACTAAATACCAGCCACCATGATGAGCACTGGGAATATGTATAAAAACAGAAAGACAATTCCTGCCTTCAGGAGCTTACATTCTAATGGGGGAATTCAGCATATCAAAAAGGAAGCTGACAAGCTAAGGGGTGAGGGGTGGAAATAGAGGAAGAGAGAGGAATGAAGAAGTACCCACAGGAGCATGGTAGAGAAAATCTAAGAGCCAGGGTTACAGCCTGAAGAGGCATGATGACCAAAGCATCCTCCTTAAAATGGAGATTCTGGGAAGAATCAGCCAATCCCAGGGAGAGGCTACAGGAGCAATAAGTAAAATCCAGTGTGAAAAGTTTAGGGGTGTGTGCAAACTTCCAGGATCAAAGCTATCGGTGGCATGATAGAGAAAATCCAGCAAGTCAGGGGTGCATCCTACAAAGGCATAAAGACATGGAATGAAAGGAGGAATGGTGGTTTCAGTAAATTTAGGAATACACACACACACACACACACACACACACACTCACTCACTCACTCACTCACTCTTAAAGTCACCTGGAAAAGAACTAGAAAGAAGAGACAGATACTCCTAAAGACCTAGAGAAGCAAGAAATGTACAGGGGAACAAGATTTTTCATTAAGTTTCTCACTTATCCAGGAGTTTGTTCAGTTTCAATGAATAAATTTTTCAATTTTTTAAAAAAGAAATATTTTGAACCAAGCTAAGAGACTTCAAGAAATGACATGCTTAATTTCTACTGTCCAAGTACCAACCTTATTAAGTTTCCAGGGGCTCATCAACTCTCTCTCAGCTTGAGGAAATCAGAATACTTGAAGTATTGATGACATGATGGAGAATTAGATGCTAAGAGATAATATAAGTGGTTGAAAGCTAATAGGAGTAGAAAGGAGAAAAGTAATAGGGAAGCATAAGCAGGAAAACAAGAGACTTTGCTTTGGTGCTTTAGTGGCACTTTGTTTACAATCTCACCAGGGTTCAAGTTCTCCTGATTTGATTGAACTCATTTCATTACCATCTTAGTTCTTCTCAGTACTCCCAGTGCTATGTGAATGCACGATCTGAAATGAAGTCATGCTTTACATGGGTCCCCAGAGAGACCTTTCTCTCTTGAACATGACTTTTATGTTTTGGGAAAGGATTATTTATTGAGACTGTTTGCTGGGCATATAAGAAAATGCAACACAACCAACAGGGAATGTTTCTTCCACTGACCTCAGCAGCTTCATAATCAGAAACCATAAAGCCAAGGCAGGAAATGTATTATAAGAAAATGAGGCATGTAGTCATGAGCCCAACACTGGTGGAGGTAAAGGAGGAAGTAAGCTGGCCCCTACTTTCCTCTTCTTTTAATGTGCATGACTATTTAAAGCAGTACATGTTATCAGCATGTCTGAAATAACCATTGAGACTGAGACTGTGGTTTTGGGGTTTTACTTTGTTTCCAGGTATCCAGACGTATTACCTCTTCTGAAACCTGAATTAGTAGCCAATAAAATTGTGAGTGCTATTCTGGAGGATCAGGTTTATCTGATAACCCCAAAAATGGCATACATTGCAGTGCTGTTAAAACAGTGAGTTACTATACATTTCTTAATCTTTCTCTAGCCCTGGTTACCTGTCAAGAAAATCACTACCATTTTTTGCCTATGAAGTCTTCTACTTAGGTCTTGCTCAAAGGACTTGTGGTGATGTGAACAGAACCTTGGGTTCTCAAAACTATACCAGCCAAGTCCAAGGTCTGGCAGGTCCCAAAAAAAATGTGGGTAAGACTGGTTAGACACAGAAAGGTTTATCATCAGAAAGCTGGCCACTAGAGGACTGGGGTTTGGGGTTTTGGTTTGTTTTGGTTTTGGTTTGGTTGTAGCAACTCATGAAACCATGTACTACAGCACAGAGATAGTTTCAATTTGTATTAGTAGAAGAGGAATTCACATCAATAAAATCACAGTTCCTTTAAATATTACTTAGGAAGTAGCTTCTTATTTCATGGAGAAAACTTTATAAATTGTACTAGCTTCAGTTATATGAGCATTTGTTGTTGTTCATTCATTTTTTTCAGTCATGTCTGACCCTTCATGACCCCATTTGGAGTTTTTTGGGCAGATAGTGGATGAGTTTGCCATTTCCTTCTCCAGCTCATTTTACAGATGAGGAAACTGAAGAAAACAGGATGAAGTGACTTGCCCAGGGTCACGTGGCTAGTAAGTGTCTGAGGCCAGATTTGAACTCAGGAAGATGAGTCTTCCTGACTCCAGGCCTGGTACTCTATATACTTCACCCCCTAGCTGCCCCTATATGAGCATACCAAGCTCAATTTTGTATTGTTTGTCAAGTGGTTGGCTTGGTGAAAAAGTACACTGTCTCTAGAACCAAAGGACCTGACTTCAATCCCATCTCTGAGGCTTACTACCTGTGTGACATTGGGCAAGTCCGTCTCAATTTCTTCATATGTAAAATAGCCTCTAAGACGCCTTCCAGCTCCAGATCTATGATCTTATTATGACCCAGATTAGTATCTAGGAATATTATTGTTGATAATAGATTTTTCTCACAAGAATAGTAGGGAATTCAATTGCTATAGTAAACCATATTATTTCTCTGCTTTCCCTAGTATGATATCTACAAAAATGAGTCTGGCCCTTGGGGATTTCCTTGGAGCTTTCAATTGCATGGACACTTTCCAAGGTAGAGGGGAGACAGATAAAGTCCAGACTGTAGCCAAAGATGGCTCACCAATAACTGAAAATCCAAATGCAACAACATAAGGAATGCAGCAAGCAGTGAAGAGCAACCCTTTTCCAGAGAGTTAGTGGCGAGTCCAAATGTGCCTACTTTATTCCCAGAAGTTTCTATGTTCATTCCTCTAGGCATTCAGAATTTCATTGTATTTCTTATTACCTCCCATGCTATAGCCTAATTTCCTCAGATAGTTCCAATTATCTTGATGAATGGTGTTAAATCCTAAAAAATAAAATAAAATAAAATAAAATTCTTTAATTATCTTCATTCGCTTTCATTTTTTTTAAACACAAAACATGGAAAAGGAAGGAGATGCCACAAAAGCAGACAAATTATGTCATAATTTCAAACTATTCTATATAGAATCCCTAACAAAGTAAAATCCTTCATGAATTAATGCCAGAGAATTCTGATACTTAGAGTACTCACTCAGTGTCCCTCTCCCGCCAACCTCCATGCAGCAGGTACAGGATCACAAGAAAGTTCACAAGCTCATGAAAGACCTAACCCTAGGGTAGTGTCAGAACATTAGGGGGACACCCTGTTTTCTAGAGCTAAGGCCCAGCAAGCAGGCTGTGCCCTGAGATTGATTTAACAACAATCTTCTGAGCTCATCCTCTGGATGATCTCAGCCACAACAAAATCCCAGAGCTGTTTCTGGTCATGAAGCCCTGCTGCAATGAAACTTGTCTCATTGTTGCTGTTACCCCTCATTGTCAGTGCTCCAGCTCACTGTGATATAAGTATTGAGATCTCGCCACACTGCCTCGAACCGCCCCCCCCCCACCAGGGGCAGGGCTCTGACACATGTGTCCTTGCTTGCAAGCCATTTCCCTCACTTTGAAATTACACTGCTGTTTGATTCCTGATTCTCCTGTCACTAGCCTGCTTTGTTCAGCTTGGGCCACCCACAGGTTAGAGGCTAGTTCCATTCAGTTGACAGCAGGGACCCCCAAAGGCTGCAGTGACTACACTAACACTACCTTCCTCCAACCACTCCATAAGAAGCAGAAGGGACCAATTCTGTCCAGTCACCTGAAGGAAAGGAAGAGAAAGGAGGAAGGAACCAGAGAGGCTGCCAGCATGGGTGGCTACACTGGGCCTAAAGGAAAGTGGGCTAAATGCTAAAGAGGTCAGTCCTATCAGGACATGAGCCCAGATTAGCAAAGGCTACTGGACTGTAATGGTCAGTGATAGCGTCCCTGCTCACCAAAAGGTTTGTCAACAGCAGACGAAGAAAAGTGTCATAATTAAATCCTTTAGGCTAAATTTAAGTAGAAACTGAAAATGTTTTCAGTTTCGTCTTTGTATCTACAGCATCCCATACAGTGCCTTGCATATAGGAAGTGCTCTGTATTTATAGAATTGAGTGTTTATCAAACTCCACAGTATATTGGAAAGAGTGGTGGATTTAGACTCAGAAGATGTTGGTTAGGATCCTGGTTTTTCTGCTTATTGCCTGTGGTCAAGACAATTCACCTCTGTGAGCCTCAGTTTCCTGATCTGAAAACTGAGGGTGGTAGACAAGGTCCTTGGTCCCAAAGGAACCCAAAGGTTCCTTCTATATTGGCTCTTGGGAACTTTTTAAAAGGTTTCTCAGAGGTTCCAAGGCTACCACTGATGCTAGTCACCTACTAGATGGCTAAGGAAACATACTCTGAACTGCAGCTTTATGTATTATGCATATTTTTATGCACCAAAATGGCTAACAGTGCCTTAAGAGTGGTAGGCACTTGATAAATATTTGTTGAATGAATAGTAGGACTCACTGTTACATAAGAATCTCACATTAACAACCTCCATCCCCACTTACACCCATCCCCACACATTCACATAAAATGGTTTCATAAAAAGGGAAGGGAATTATGCTAGTAAATACAACAAAGAGCTATGCCTGGACTAATTTTTCAGGGTGATGCCAGTCTGTGGGAGCCACATGAAAGGAGAATATAGTCACTCCCGATTCCTTTGCTAGATCAGAGTCAGCAAGCATTAGCAACACAGATGTACCCTCTAGATGGTCCTCCATCACTCTTCGATACATGAACCAGTTTACTTTCTTTCTCCTCCCCTCTGTCTCCCTCTCTTCCTCTGGTCCTGGCCCCTTTTTCTCTTCCTCCTCTCCTCTTCTGCTTAAGCCTTAGGCCTGCCAGTGCCACCCAGTGGCTCTCAGGGGCACTGCGGAGCCCCACAGGTGACAACGCAGAGCTGAGGAATTCTTCCATCCCCATCTAGGATAGAGGAATTCGATAATGCTTTGTCTCTTTTGAACCGCATCTGCAGGAGGCCGAGAAGACTTTTCTCCCTTGTGTTGGCTGGATGTGACCCAAACCTGTCACGCTCTTCCTTACTCACAAAAGGTTCTTGTCGGCCCCACCCAAAGGACCAAATTGCTTGTTTTCAAAGCTCCTAGTGGGGGGAAAGGAAGGAAGAGGGGGAGAGACGGGAACGGAGGGGATGCTACAAGAGGTTTTTGGCAGTTCAGACGGTGCGCGCCCTCTGCTGCTAGCCGGGCTGGGGAACTCACATGACCAAAAGTTCCCAAGTCCAAGACCAACAACTTCAGGGCGCCCATTCCAGGGCAACGTTCCAAAGCTAAAGCGCAGGCGCAGGGCGTCACAGCCTGGGGTGTATACAGTGTGAGCTTTTTGCTTCCACTGGGAGGACTTCGGGAACAGTCTGCGTCCAGAGCTTCCAAGAGCTGCAAGTAAGTGGCATTAAGTGGATGTGGTGGAGAAGGGGATGAGCAGCCGGGACTCTAGCTTCTCTGGAATTGTGTGTGCCGCGTGTTTGTAGACGAATGATCTTGAGTGCCTCTATCTGGCTAAAATGGGGCTTCTGTGCTCGGGGAAGATCCCTTTGACTAAATGCCGGGGGAAAAAGAAGAAGGGGAAGGGGGGCAGGAGTGAGAGATTACTCTCCTGCTTTTGCCTTCTACAATTCTGAAGCTCTTCGCTTCAGGTGTTGGTTTCTCGGCCAGATTCTCAAATCTAGTTGGATTAAAGGCAGTAAGGGAGTTTCCCAGTCCTCGAAACTTTTAGTTTTGCTAGTTATGCCGGTTTCAGGTTAGCTGTTTGCTGAAGATGTCACCCAAGTATTCTGAGTGGGAGCAGAAATAATAGAGAGGTAATTTAGTAGGTGTGTCAGAGAAATGTAGCTAAATAAGTGACGAAAAGTGCTACACACACACACACACACACACACACACACACACACACACCTTGCACATCTCATTTAATTTTGAAGGCTTATAGTGCTTTCGCTGTAGTTTACGTGGTGGGAGCAAAGGAGTATTGTAGAGGACTTCCCAAGTATGACCTGAAGACCAACTCCATGTGCTGCAGATGGGAACAATGAGTTGAAAATATTACTACCTTTGGAGTGGGTTCTCTGCTTTCCCAGATCCTCCTACATACCTACCTACACACACACACACACACACACACACACACACACACACACACACCAGATCTCTCCTCCACAAGCATTTTTCTCTCCCTCTTACCTCTCCCTTCTACAGGTCTCCCCCTTTTTCTTCTGTGTCCCCCCCTAGTACTCCATTCCCTTGCTGCTTTCTGTAAAGATCCTTAGAGGGGTTGTAAATCATCCTTTAATCACTATAGCTGAGTAGTTGAAAATTAAGCAAAGAACCCCCATTCTCTTCTTGACCAGAGTATACAGAGTAACTCTTGGGGTGGAGAGTAACTTGGTATAGGTAAAATTGCACTGGACAAACAGCTGAGATCTGGATTCTAACTTTGTAGCTTTGGGCAAGTCAACTGCTGGGCCTCAGTTCCTTCTGTAAAATGAGAAGCTTTATTCAAAACGTATTAAGCTTCAATCTGCATTCAGACTCCATCAGTTTTTACATGTAATGGGGGGGAATTAAAAGTATTTTTTTTAATGTGGAAAAAAGAAAAAAAATTTAAGTATTAAGCCACTACTTTGTGCCACACCCCCACCACACTAAGTTCTGAGGTTACAAAGACAAAATTAGGACAGTCCCCAATCCCAAGTAGCTTGCATTTTATTGGCAATGCAGTTTGTATTAGTAAGGGAAGAGGATACACTGATAACTGGGGGGAAATGGGAAACACTTTGGAGAAGGCACCTGAGCTATTTTAAAAGGAGCTAGAAATTCTAAGAGGCTAAGGTTTGGAAGGAGAGCATTCCAAGCATGCAGAATAGTTTGCTAAAGGCACAAAATTAGGATATAGAAGGTCAGACTCAATCAACAAGCATTTGTTGAATACCTACTAGGTGAGAGTCTCAGATTTAGAATCAGTCCCTGCCCTGGAGGAGCATAAATCTGGGAGAGACAGCATATGCATATGTAAATAATACAAAATAGAATCAAAGTGCACATAAAAGGCTTAATTTAGAATGTATCACTTAAGTTGAGCCTCGAAGGAAGCTAGGAATTCTTAGAGGCAAAGGTGCAGAAATGAATCCCAGGCATGGGAGGCTGACAGGAGAAAGGGCTGGAGACAGGAAATGGAGTAAGAGTAAAAGCAGTAAGGCCAGTTTCATGTGTGCATGAATGGGAGGAATTTGTGCTGGAAAGATAGGTTGGAACTAGGTTGTGAGAAACTTTAAATGCTGAACAGAGCAGTTTCTAAAGGAACAAAAAGTAGGCTGAGATGCCAGGAGTGTAGGAGGGAAAGTAATACGAAGCTGGCCTGGAAAGACAGGCTGGAGCCAGAAATATGAAGGAGTTAGAATACCAAACAAAGAAGTTTCTCTCTTATCCTATAAGCAAAAGGGAACCATCAGAACTTCTTGAGCAGAGGCTTGGAAGAGGCGGGATTGCATCTCTGAGTTTCTATTTGCCTACATTCAGCTGCACTGATCTGGAAGATCCTGATGATAGCAATGAACTCTGCCCTCTTTCCCTCAGAAATCCCCAAGCACATTGCCACACCCACTCAAGTATGGGATTATCAAAATAATCTGGATTGTCCAAAAGTCCATGGTGAAAAAAAGTCCTGAAGCCTGTCTTTGTCTTTCTACCTACTTCCTAGATTAGACGCTATTTCTACCTAACTCCCAGATGACTAGTGTTTTCTGGGTACCCAAACTCACCCATCTAGGCTTGCCTCCTGGGAGCAGCATTTGAAGATTAATGTACTAGGAATTCCTACTTCAGGGGTACCAGGCCAACTTATTTTCCTGAGTTCAAATCCAGCCTCAGACTTTTACTAGCTGTATGACCCTGGGCAAGTCACTTAACCTTGTTTGCCTTATTTTGCTCATCTGTAAAATGAGCCAGAGAAAGAAATGGCAAACCGCTCCAGTATCTTTGCCCAGAAAACCCCCAATGGGCTCACAAAGGGTTAGACATGATTGAAATGACTAAACAATTCCTAGGCCATTTCAACCAGTGATTAGAAAGCATCTGAAGTATGTAAAATTGATAGCAACAAACATTTATTAAGTTCCTGCTATGTGCAATTCTGCTAATCAAATATAACTTGGACCCTCTCACTTCTTATTTTCTAACTCATCAACTACTCCACCTTCTCCAGTGCATGTTGGTCTTTCTTAAAACATAGCAGTAAGTTGTGAACATCCTATTTCTTTAAAAAACAGTATAATTTGGGGGCAGCTAGGTGGCACAGTGGATAGAGCACCAGCCCTGGATTCAGGAGGACCTGAATTCAAATCTGGCCTCAGACACATAACACTTACTAACTATGTGACCCTAGGCAAGTCACTTAACCCCATTACCTAGCCAAAAAAAACAAACAAAAAAAAAAAACAGTATAGTTTTCTTCAAACTACATTGTGGTACTGCCTTTAAGGAATAGTTACCAGTTTGGGGCTAAACTTCTGTGAGACCTTTGATCTGTAACATGTGATTTCATGGATATAGGAAACTCTCTAATGTGGGGACTCTCTCTACCAGGGAACATCACCAACTCATCTGTGGTTTATGCTCTTTGAAGGGTTTCCTGGAGGCACTGAGAAGTTAAGTGACTTGTAGATAGTGGACAAATAGCAAGTGTATATCTGAGATAGAATTTGAACCCAGTTCTTCCAAGGCTAACCCTTTATCCACTCCACCATTTTGCCTTCCTTTGAACCAACAATTAATCATTATTATTATTAATAGTAGTTAGATCCTTTTCTTACATTTTAGCTGGTTCTTAAAACCTACCGTGTAACATGCAAATTCAATGTTAAATTATTTTATTCTAAATTCATTGTGCTAACTTTCACAGAAGGTGCTCTACCTTATTTGTTTCACACCATCTTGTGAAATCTTCCTGAAATTTATCTCCAAGGGCTAGTTATTTAGGAGGGAAAAAAAGGTTATAATCTGCAATTTCTCTCCTTCTAGATGATTTATAAAGTGATTAATGTTACCAATACCAATAGATCTATAAAGAACCTCCATTATTTTACATTTATTCATTCTCAGAAATATCATTCGTTCTCCCTAACTTTGGGTTTCCTATTTTTTGAGTCATTTCCCTGTCCAAATTAGTCCCCACAATCTCATGGTAATTAGACTTGCATTAATTTTAAAATAATCATAGCTTTGCCAAAAAAACATTTTTAAAAACTTAAGTTACTGCTCAGTAACTTGCCACTACCCTACCCCAAAGGAAGGATGACCCCCTTTAGAAAACAAAAATGTGACTCGCATTAAATCTAGACTATTCTGTGATCCTTTCAATAATTCACTCTTTTTGAATATCCCTCACTCTAGATACATTCCTTTACTGAATTGTTACATTCACATATTTTATTTTAGTTTATAAAGGGAATATATTCCATATACAGTAAAAACCAATCTTAATTTGGTATAAGGAAGCTAGTCTGAATTATTTTGTTTTGTTTTTAATTTTAAGAAATGCAATCATGTTACTTTCAAGCACATACAAATAAATGAAATTCTAAAAACTACAGCTGAACCAGTTTTGGTTGGGTGACAAGGCAGGGAAGGGAATAAGTTTAATGTGATTAGCAGCAGCATTCCTATAGGTTTTAATATATCAAAGTCCTTAAAATAAGTTGTCTCCCCCCCACACTCCCATGGGTGGGTAAAATATGTTCCTTGAAATTTTGTTTGTCCTGTCAAGGATCTCAGAGTTGAAAGGAACATCAGAGACCTACAAGAGTCCTTCCCATATCTCATCTGACAGGTGGTCCAACCACAGCTTGAAGAATTCTAGAGGAAGCCCATTATACCTTTGGATACTCTCAATTGTTAGGAATTTTTATAGTTCTAGAAACATAGATTTGCCTCTTTGCAACAAATATCCACACACTTGTACGTCCACATTATTCATTCTATGATCCAGAATCTTGAGGCAATGGAGGGTTCTGGTTAATTTAATTTTGTTCCTCATTGGAGCTTATTCCTTTATTGAAATTATTTTCACATCAATTCTTGTTGGAAATATATTTCCCAACTGGTAGTAGCACACATTCCTGCCTTAGTGGAATATGTCTAGTTTTAGAGTCAAGACTTTGCTTCAAACCTAAACATGGCCTGGCTATGTGACTTTAGGTAAGTCATTTACTTTCTCTGCCTAAATTCTAAAATAAGGGGATTGAACTAGATGACCTCTAAGTAAGGCCTATACTAAACTTAATTTAACTTATATTTGATCCTGAATCTTTGTTGCCTCAAGGTCCACAGTAGAAACCAGTATTCTATTATGAATAAGTATATTGTTTAGGTGAGATCTATCCCTTTTTATCCTTTATCTACTTTAATCTGTCCCCTCTTGATTTCTCTATGCTGTTCCACCACTGTTGCTTTACTTTCCCCTCACCTTCATCTTTGTTAACCCCCCTACCTACTTTATTACTCCTTTTTCTCCTCTCCTCTCCTCTCCTTTCCTCTCTTCTCCTTTCTTCTCCTCTCCTCTCCTTTCCTCTCCTTGCCAAAAACATTCAGTTAGAAAGCAAACATTCATTAAGCCCTGAGCATGAACCAGACTCTGTGGCTAAGAATGCAAAGACAGAAAGTCCCTACCATCAAAGATCTTACATGCTAATGGGTGAGACAACCTGTAAATAACTAGTCATATTCATGCTCTAAACAGAGTAAATGGAAGATTCACTGAGTAATCACCACACTTAGAACTTAAGATGTTTCCCACTCACCCTCAACCCTGTCCTGTGGCAAAATATATTTGTGGGTCCTGATTAGTTGGGTCCCAGCTAATTGAAATCTCCCTCAAATTTAGTTGGTTAGCAAATCCTTTCTGCGCTCTCATGGAGTGGGGATAAAAGAAAAGAAAGAAAGGACAAAAGAGCAGAACAATCAGATGACTGAGGAAAAGATTGTGACTGAGAAATAGAGCAAGAGAAATTAAATTCCTGTTGACAGGAGCAGACTCTGGAGACTTTATAACAAGGTCCTTTTGTTAGGTAAGCTAAGAAGGAAACAGAAATGAACAACAACAGCAAAACAATAAAAGCTAACAGGGTAAAAACAAAAAAGTAGAAGAAAGTGAGACGAGGGGAGAGAAGATGATGAGCTCAAAAGAAAGGGAAGTAAATCCCCACAAAGGCATAAATACAAAGAAGGTGATGGAATGTCTAAGGTCAGACAGTCACTTGTATAGTCAGCCTATGCTGGACATGTTGTAAGGAAATGTCATGAAAACCATGAACTTCAGTATGTTGGGCTAAGGTTTTGAGAAAAAAAATCAAGCCTGCTTTTGTTTCTGGATAACTAGTAATAACCTTTTTGTACACATCCTAGATACCACATGGGGGTAATGGAAAGAGAACTGGATTTGGAGTCAGTATGGCCTGGGTTTGGACAATTGCCATTTGTGTGACACTGTTGGACTTACTTAAATTCTCTGAACCTCAGTCTCCTCTATAAATGAAAGAGAGTATATAGCACCTTCCCTACCTCCTTCACAAGGTGATTGTGGAGAAAGCACATTGTAAATCATAAAGCACTATAGAAATATGAGTGCTTGGCATTATTCTAAGAATAGCAAATTGTCATTGAGACACACTCCCCACTATGTTCACTGGCCTGTGTGTGCACGTGCCAATATGTGGTCAAGATTATTATCTCAAAAGTGTGATCTTATTATTTCTGAAGATGTTTCCTGTAGGAACCTCATCTCCATTTTTGTAATAGAAGGTAAACATAGCTACTATCCACTTCAAGGCCTTCAATCTTCTCACACCTTCCTCCCTGCCACATAGTCTGATTTAGTACACTAGCCTCCTGGCTGTCCCTCAAGACACTCCAGGCATTTTCACTAGCTGTCACCCATGCCTGGAATGTTCTCCCTTCCCATATTTGCCTACAGCTTTACCTGGCTTCTTTTAAGTTCCAACTGAAATTCCATCTTCTACAAAAAGCCTTTCTCAATCTCTCTTAATTGTAGCACCTTCCCTCTGTTAATTATTTCTCATATATACTGTATATAGGTTGTTTGCATATGCTTATTTGTTGCCTGTGAGCAATTTGAGGGAAGGGGAATGGCTTTTGCCTCTTTTTATATCCCTAGTGTTTAGCATGGGACAACTAAGTGGTGAAATGGACTCCAGTTGCAGGCCTGGAGTCAGGAAGTCTCATCTTCCTGAGTTCAAATCTGGCCTCAGACACTTACCAGCTGTCTGACCCTGGGCAAATCACTTAACCCTGTTTGCTTCAGTTTCCTCATATGTAAAATGAACAGGAGAAGGAAATGGCAAACCATTCCAGTATCTTTACCAAGAAAACCCCAAATGGAAACACGAAGAGTCGGACATCACCTGAATAACAACAACAGAAGTGTTTAGCATAGTGCCTGCCACAGAGTAGGCATTTAATAAATTGGTTGATTGGGTAGAAGCACAAAAGACAAGCCTGAGATATCCTGAAAGGCAAAATATTGAGTTTCTGCTTACTTAAAATTTCTGGTAATATAGTAAGGGATATTTGATGATTCCTTCAGCTCCCCTTTATCAAGTATTATGTGCAAAGTACTGCATTAAGCACTGGGAGATAAAAAGATACTTAAAGCCTAATAACAAATGATGTCTATGTGGATGAAAATCGCTGATATGGTATATATGGAAATCAGCACTTGTAAAGCAAATGATCTTGTGCTAGATGGAGGTTAGTCTTAAGTGGACAATGACCAGAGTCAGGACTAGAGAAAGGAAAGGAGATCAATCTCTATAGGCATATTATATGTGAGCTGGGAGAATTCAGTGAGTGATACTTTTTAATACTTTAAGAAAATAAAAGTACATATTTTAATACCAAAATAATTTTACACCAGGGATATAGGTCATTATGTTGTGTTAAATCAAGTCACCTGAGTGCACTAAAGGTTTAGTGCCTCTATAATTATAATTAATGCCCAGAGTGTGTAGTTTTCTTGCTTAGGACATACTTAATGCCTTACCCAAATTTGACTGATCCAACTCAGATGGAAAGAGAAATTTTTTTTTCAAGGTTGGGAATTTTCACATAGGTTATGGATAGAGTACATTGTGCATCGTTGCAGTGAAAGTCCTTATATGTAAAATTAATACAAAAAGCTATAGAGATCTTGGAAATCTGTTTCAGCTCTATGATTTTATAAGGGGACAGAGAAAAGGGGAGGGGGACCATACCATTTAGTGAAGTATATCAGCTTAATCATTTTTACTTAAGCAAAAATAGTTATCAACTTTTTTCTGAATAAAGTGCTCTATTTTGAAACAAACTCATTAAGCTCATTTATAGATATTAAATGTGTGGTGTTATAAGCTTTGTGTAAAATTTTATTAGGCAACGTTGTTTTCCCTTTGAGCTACTTTTCTTTCTCCTCAAATTTGCAACTTTATAATAGTATGCCCAACTCCAGAGAAAGCTGGGACAATACTGAAGCACTGTGACCTGTTTTAATGATACATAATGACTATTTTCCATCTTAGCCAGTCCTGGAACACCCCTAAGCCTCAGCTGCTCTAACTCTACCTCCAGTAGTGTTCTTTCAGTATCTTTCCACTTGGACTTGTCCTCCAAGAAAGACTGAAACTAAAGACTTAATTACTGTTACCACCTGCAAAGAAGGTAGAAGCCAGACTTAATTTGGTTCAAACAGAGGGATTGACCAACTAAACTTAAATTAATAAATTTCTCATTGGTCCAAGAGGTTCTGCTCTTCATTTCCATGATGAATCCCAAAATTTCTGACCTGGAAAAGCACCTTAGCAGTTTTTCAATACAACTCATATCTAAGTAAGAATCCCTTCTGCTGTTGTTCAGTTGTGTCCAACTCTTCATAATCCCCATTTGGAGTTTTCTTAGCAAAGATACTGGGGTGGTTTGCCATTTCCATCTCTAGCTCATTTTACAGATGAGGAAACTGAGGCAAACAGGGCTAGGTGACTTGTCTAAGGTCGCATAGCTAGCAAGTGTCTCAGGCCAGTTTTGAACTCAAAAGTCTTCCTGGCTCCAGGCCCAGCACTCTGTTCTAGATCCACTGTTCCACCTGCACTGCCCAGAATCCCTTCCACAACAAATCTGACAAGTGGGTATTCAGCCTTCCTTTAAAGATCTCCATCAAAACCCAAACAATGAGCAAGCTTAGGCTGGGACCTATTATGTGAGAGCGAATCCACTATTTCCTCAATCAACACCTTCTACTTTGGTATAGGTCTAATTATTAGGAAATTTTCCTTAACATATTGAGCCAAAATTTGTCTCTTTGAGACTTCTATTCATTGCCCTTCTGCTTCCAGAGATTAGAACAAGCAAGCTCTAATCCTTCTTCTATGGATCACTTGAAAACAGCATTCATGTTGCCCCCAGAATCTTCTCATGTCCTAGCTAAATATCCCAGTTGCTTCAACCAGTACTTAGATAGCATGATCTCATAGCCCTTCACCATTCTGGTCATTCTCCTTTGGAAACTTTATAATTTGTCCAGTCTGTCAATGTCTTTCCAAAAATGTTACACTCAACTCCAGTTTGTCAATCAATGTCTTTCCTAAAATGTGATGCCCAGTAAATTCATCTCTCTTTATAGGTATTTGCTGAAATATGCCTTCTAAGATGAAAGCCGGGAAGGATCTGCTCATTTTTGCTGGTAAATTTATGTATAGCTTTTGGGACACTTTATTTCACTACATAGTTCCAAGACCAAAGAAAAATGTTGCTGGTGAAATAGTCCTTATAACAGGATCTGGAAGTGGAATTGGACGATTATTAGCCTTAAGATTTGCCCATCTAGGAGCTATCCTTGTTCTCTGGGATATCAATCCAGAGGGCAACCAGGAAACTTGTGAATTGGCCAAAAAAGCTGGTACATCAAGAGTATATACCTATACCTGTAACTGCAGTGATAGAGAAGATATCTACCGAGTAGCAGCTCAGGTAAGGCCTGTGTATTGCTCAATTCCTTTACGTGATAAAATTGTATCAACTACCTAACCTTTGAGTAAGAGGTATAACCAAAATTTGCATTGAGATGGTTCTCTGTAATATAATAATCTAGTTTGGCAAACATTAAGTGCTTACTATATGCGAGGCACTGTACAGTTATCCCTTCCACATTATGACTTTTCCCATTGCAGTTTCAATATATCGCAGGTGGTTTCAGTGTATCAAGGGTTGGCAAGAGAAATTAAATGGGAAGTTTGGAGGAATTTTGTGAAAGCCACAGACAACATGAAAAGGCCAGCAGACAACACAGAAAAAATTTAGAAACTCAGAAATGTATGAAATATATGTATAGTATTGTATAATATCAATATGTTTAATCCTTTAATACCATAATAATTCAGACTTCTCTTGTATGAAAGGAGGGCCAAAAATTTTTACAAAGATTTTCCAGATCACAGGGGCACCACACCCATAACCTCTGAAATTTGGAAGTTATAACTCTACTAGGTACTAGGTATACAAAGTTAGATAATGAATGATACAAGCCATGCCCTCAGGAGCTTACAACCTAATTCATACTTATCTTTCTGCCTTTAGTTTCTAAAATGATTTAAATTGTTTTGTTACCACTTATATGTCAATATCTTTAATCAAATCTGAACAATTTCTTTAGCTAAAAATTTCTTAACCCAATTTTATTTCTAGGCAGGAAATTTACAGGAGAGTAGACCCATAGACCAGGGCCATAATTAAGTGTTCTCTCTCTTTTCCCATAGTTCCACATACCATCATCCTATAACTTCCTCCTGTGTACCCAGTTTTAGTGAGGAGAAAAGTGTAAAATTGTGAGAAATGTTATTTTGCAACATTATTGTATAACATGGTGCCTAGTTATAGTGAGGAGAAAAGAAGATAACAGAACATAATTCCAGCTGTACAAGATCCCTTCTTTCCAGGCCTACCCTGGACTCCTCTACACTTCCTTCTCCTGTTTCCAGTGGAAAGAAGCCAGGTATACAAGTAGCTAGGTGGTCCCATTGCTATGTAAGTTTTGTCTTTTATTTAAATGATTAGTTTTATTCTATACATTTCTTGCAGTCAATTTGAGTTATAGAGCTCAGCACAGTGCCTGACACATAGTAGGTGCTTAATAAATGTTCTTTGACTGACTATAGGTCAGGATCTGAGGGGCACTTGAATTGTATCTGCAACATTTTTTCAGCTGTCCTTGAAAATTTCGCTGTTTCAACTTTGTGTGTCTTCTGGAATTTTGTTTATACTGGAAATTGGAGATTTGAACAACGGATGTATTGTCCGACACTATTGATGATAATCTATATATTTGCTTGGGACAATGGCCACACTAGAATTAAAAGTTCGGAGGCTGAGTCAGAGATCGGAAAAGGTTTTATTCTTTCTCATGAGAAAGGGCACAGCCCTCGTCGCTCAAGCAGCAGCAATCAAGGAGTGTGCTCGCTGGTTGTGAGAAGCAAAGTTTTATAGCCCTAACACGATACCCCCTCCCCATTTCTGAACCCTTCTTCCCATTGGCTGGGTTTTGGGGTGCACAGTCTAAACGGGGCTTTCTAAGACCCTTAGTACAATAATATCCTTATTTGGAAATATTTGCCTAGAGACAAAGGCTCGGGAAGACTTTGGATAAGGGTTTAGAAGTTCTGCTTATAGACAGATAAGCAGGAAGCCCCTGGTGGTTAAGCTAGCAGTCTTTTACAATTTTTACCTTACTAGAGGAATTGGAGCACAGGTTAGCTCTTGCTTAATGCACAGCAAATGTTTGCAGATTCATCAAGTTTTACTGCTTTGGGGTTACAAAGGGGATTTATGAGTTTTAGTACTGAGGAAACTTCATCTATCTCACACATATTCTTGATTCATACATAAACATTACAAACATTCAGGTGTTTACAGAACTGGCATAGAGTTGTAAGGTTTTTTTTTTGTTTTTTTCAACATTCCTTATTTTACTTTATGTATTCAAAATTATATTGATGCTTTCCTTAGAAAAAAATAAAACATAGCAGAGTTCTATTTACTTTTTTAAATCACACGTTCTTTTCTTCTTTGGAATCTAGGAGAAAGCCAGCTATATTTTCTGAATGTAAACCCCAGGTCATTTTCACATCAATTGCCTATTATGCCATGTCTTTCCCTCCCATCACCATGCTCTCCTTGGGCAATTGATTGTCTTGTCCTGCATACAGGACCTTATAATTCTAGCCAAATGAGAGCTTTTTACATTCTAATGAGCTGTCTCAGCCACCTTTGTCATCTGGAAATTTGATAAGCGTGTTTCTTTGTCTTCATCCAAGTTATTCATAAAAATGGTGAACACAATAGAGACATGTGACCAGGCACTAGAGATTTGCCTCCAGACTCATATCAACTCATTAATCAGAACTCTTTTAAAATGATCATTTAACTAGTTACAAATCTCCCTGAACTAGCACCTGGAAGGATATTATAATTATGTTCCTTATTAAAATTCAATTATTTTATTTAAATCCATAGTTTTTCCCTGTTCCATCAGTCTAGTAAATATTCCAAAGGGGATTTAGGTTAGTTTAGAATGATTTGATCTTAGAGAAGATGGTATGGCTAGTGATGATTACTTCCCTTTCTAGGTGCTCATAAATCATACATCTGATTTTCAAGTCTAAAATTTTTACTGAGATGAATGTGAAGGTTACACATTGAGCTCGTTTTCAGAATTCATCTTTTATTCCTTTCTAGAAAGTATGACAATGTTTTCCCTCATCCCATTTTCTGAAACTTTAACCATTCTCCACCAATTCCTTAAAGATGACTTACATTATCTCTTCTATGGATTCCCTTTTTGCCCTGGGTTGTAATTTATCCTCCATGAAGTCTTACTGTTATGCCTCATTTCTTTTGTAGAGGTGACCTTTATTTCTTGAAGGCAAAAAACTCTGGCAGGTTCTACAAAGATGAAAAGGATTCATCCCCAGCAACCCCAGCAACATACAGAGTCTTCTGTCTAAAGACTAGCCTTGCTGGGTGTAGAGACTGGCATGTTGGTGATGAATTTTTGGCCATGGCAGCCTATCAAACAATGAAAAAGACAAAATTGTCACTGTGGTGATAGTGGAAGGAGAGGAGTGAAAAACAGAATGAAAATACTAAGATGTGCAGTTTTTAGATTATTTATAATTTTTTTTATCTCTAGCACTCCTATGGTGAAATCTTTGACCACTGACCAGCAAAGACTGTAACATCAGTCTTGACATTCTCACCATAAATGGCAAAATGAAGACACAGCTAAATTGAAGGATGACTCTGGTTCTCTTGGAGAGAAAAATATAGGAGTTTAAAATTTTGACTTTATCATACATGCAAAAGGAATGAGGAGCATTGTGTTGCATTGCTCACAATGCATTTGCCAAGAAAAAAAAAAAAACTGCCATGAAGATAATTTCAGTTTATGCACCAGCATAAGCAGTGAACTATGAAGGTGTAGAAAAATTTCTATTAAGAATTCAATAAGACCCTCCAAATTAAACCAATATATACTTTAATTGATTTAAATGCAAATGTGAACATAGAGGAGAATGGCATATGTGTATATATATGCATATACATATACAACTAATTCCAAAAATACTCCCACATTGTTAAACTATTATTTTATGTTGGTTGAAATATTATTAATTTTATATTCTTTTTTTTTGTACTTGCCTTGTCCATGACCTACTGAGTCTCTTTTGGAAGAAAATATTCATGATAAGGCATGAGACTTCCACATGATATACAAACCTTTAGCTTTTTTCCTTATTCTTACTCTTAAACCATGTTTTTATTTTTATGTGTGTATATCTTATGTATATATGCATTTATATTTATACACACATTGATGTGCATATATCCATTATTATTAACTGAGGCAACTCCAATTTAATCTATTTAAACAAATTTTTGATGCTAAGGTTGGGAAATAAATAAAAGGACCAGCATCTACACAGATTATCACCATTTCCTAAGGAAGTTTAACTAATGTAATTCAATTGCCAAAAAAGAAGAAAAGAAACTAAAAAACCTAGAAACTGCTTCAGCAAGAAAACAATTAGGAGTATAGATATAAAGTCTTAGAGTTCATCTTGTCAAATCAGATCAACAAGTATTGATTAAATGCTGCTTTGTTCCAAGACACTGCTAAACACTCAGAATACAAGTCCAAGTAGAAAGACCCACAAGGAATTTATATTCTGGGTGGACAAAAGGCAGAGATGAAGGTATCTATCAAGATAGAAAAAGTCTGGAGAATTCAGAGTGAAGCCTGAAGAGGAATGAAAACATGGGTGTCCTGGGCATCTGAGGTGCCAGCTAATCAGAGGGAGATACTACAGAGATGGAGAGTATTTCCAATGTATGAAGTCCAGGGCTGGAGTGAGCTTCCAGAGTAGAGAGGTTTCTGGATTATCATTGGAAAAAGTGTGGGAAGAGTCAAGAGTACAGCCTAGAAAAGAATGAAGACTAGGGTCTAGGTCTGGGGTGGGGGACCTGCATCCTCGAGGCCACATATAGTCATCTCATTCAGCCCTTTGACTGAATCCAAACTTCACAGAACAAATTCCCTTAATAAAAGGAGGCTGGAGGTTTCCCTCCACTGGTCCAGTCCAATCTCCTAATTTGATGGATGAGGAAACTGAGACCCAGAATTTTTCAGTGTTATAACAGAGTAGGATGCTGGAAGATTATCAGTAGTATCTTCTCATAAAACAGCAAGAAACAGAAAAGAGAAAAGTAGGTTTACATAAAGGTTGGCAAGAAACCCCACTAAGTCAGATCATCCTGAGAGCATTTAAGGATAAAACTATAGGGAAAAAAAGCACAACCAATAGATGAAAAGTGAATATCTATCAATATTTCTATGATGAAGTCTTTTCCTCACCAATGCCAGTGGCCATGGTATTTGCATTCTCACATCACAGTACCTGTTTTTCTGAAGAAGAAAA